CCTCCAATGTCTGGTCCATTCATAGACTTGTACCCTATGTACACTGTCCAAGAATCGAGCACATCGTTCACTCGTTCATTTGTGACAATTTCATGGACATTTCTCACACCGATCAGTTCTTGGCTTTGGACGAGAAAGAAATGCAATGTCTCCTCGAGAACCAAGATATCAAAGTATCGGAAGCAGCCATGTTAGACAGCTTAGCTCGATGGTACAAACACAAGGAAAGGCAACGAGAAAATGCTTTCAAACAGCTGTTTGACAAACTACACTTGAGTGTTATCGGCAAGGATGTGTTGTCAGAAGTGATCAAGAAATATCAGTTGGTGAAAGTTATCCCTGAGCTACGTAAGTACAAGAAGCTGCTTCCCCAACGTGTGAGTCTAGATGACTTGATTTTTCAGGAGAACATTTCCAACATGGCGGTGATTTCGGTTTCAAGGGAATACGTAGAACCAAAAATTATAGCTCCAGAGTTTTTTGGAAACAGTGAACCTCCTATATTTGAGTACTTGCCATTTCAAACAGGCGTCATCCACTACTGGGTGCCGTTTGCATCACAAAGCATTGAAGTTGAGCTGAAAACACTTGGAAAAGACCTGTTTGCCAGTTATATAGTCCCTTGTAAAGATAAACTGTACATTTTTGGATCAASTAGGCAATCTTTGGATTCCGCTATGTTGGAACCAATTGCTGTTTATATAGATCTCCATACGAGAAATTTCCACAAATGCAGCACACCTCCAGACATCTTACCTGCACAGGGTGTTTGTCTTTCTTCTGCAAGTTACGTTTTTATCCTTGGTGGCTATGGATATGATCCAAGTAGTGCTACTGATTCCTCTGATCCTCTTGATTACATGAAGACCCAAACATGCCAATCTGTGTACAAATATGATCACATCAAAGATACATGGACAGACGTAGCGCCTTCAGTACACCAACATGTTGACTTTCAAACATGGGGTACTCAAATAGTCGTCCTGTACAAAGATAGATTCCTGTACGTATTTCATAGCAGAYTTTGCGAGAGATATGACATGTGTACAAATACTTGGTCCCTCGTTGCACCGCCCATGGTGGAAATCGACTATTTTTTTTGCGCTAATGTTTTAGATGAAAGGATTATTGTTTTTGGAGTAAATGTAGAAGATTTAACAAACTGTTTTGCTGTATATAATGTTGTCAATAATTCCTGGCAACAACCATGCATTTTTCCTCCAACAGTGAGTTTGATAACAAGGGCATTTTTTGGGAAGAACTTTGCATTAGCTGAATCATTCCACAAGGGAAGAGAATTCTTACAAGAATATAAAACAAGCTACAGTATTTCAGAGCTTCAATTTCCCTCAGGGAAAAGTGGGAAATTGATGGCTTGTAGCAAAAAGAAACTTGATTTCAAGTTGANNNTGGTACTGATTCCTCTGATCCTCTTGATTACATGAAGACCCAAACATCCCAATCTGTGTACAAATATGATCACATCAAAGATAAATGGACAGATGTAGCGCCTTCAGTACACCAACATGTTGACTTTCAAAGATTGGTTACTCAAATAGTCGTCCTGTACAAAGATAGATTCCTGTACATATTTCATAGCAGACTCTGCGAGAGATATGACATGTGTACAAATACTTGGTCCCTCGTTGCACCGCCCTTGGTGGACATTGACTATTTTTTTTGCGCTAATGTTTTAGATGAAAGGATTATTGTTTTTGGAGTAACTGCAGAAGGATTTGAAGGTTCAACCAAATGTTTTTCTGTATATAATGTTGTCAATAATTCCTGGCAACAACCATGCATTTTTCCTCCATCAGTGAGTTTGATAACAAGGGCATTTTTTGGGAAGAACTTTGCTTTAGCTGAAGCATTCCGCAAGAGAAGAGAATTCTTTCAAGAATATAAAGCAAGCTACAGTATTTCAGAGCTTCAATTTCCTTCAGGGAAAACTGGGAAATTAATGGCTTGTAGCAAAAAGAAACTTGATTTCAAGTTGAGCTCAAGAATGAATGTCTTTGAATATTTGATTCTTAGCCGAGGTCTTCGTCTTCTGGCAGTCTGATGTAGTGAGCATGTTTTGAGGTTCCTGTAGATAAAAAGAAAAAGATATAAATTTAGATTTTTACGTGATTATTATATGATTTGCTTGTGAATGTATTTCAAAATTATGATTCGACAAGATACATTGGTTTAAAAAACAGTTTTAAAACTAAACTGCCTAATTAAGGCTAAATGCAACTAAATGCAGGGATGCCAACCCCCCAACTTTTCAAATCTTGAGAACGAAAATTATGACGTCATACCGGAAATGACGTTTCATAACATTATCGATGACGTCATCGCATTTATCAAATTTCGTTATAACTAGTGATTTGACTGGATGTATCTTAACCAATCATATTATAGATTGTATTATGCAATTGAAAATGGCCGCGGATAGTGTGCAGTGTTATTGTTATCAGAAGACTGGGATTTTTGTATTTTTTCAGAACTAAAATGATATGCAAGGTAATTGAGTTTTAATAGATGAAAAGAGATATTTCAAAAAACTGACATATGAATCGTCATTATCCGGGAGATTTAGCGGTAAAATCTTGAGACCGGGAGAAACGGTAGAAAATCTTGAGACTCCCGGATTATCCGGGAGAGTTGGCATCCCTGAGAATGATGTAACTGAACTTTATCAACCTGCTGGAAAATAAGGAAATCGTAAATTTATATCAATGGATACATGAGTGGCTTTCAAAAATATAGCAGGCATGCACACAAAAAATAAGGCTTGTTAGGGCAGAGATGCTTAAGCTAATTTATATTTTTGCCCAAAAATAGTCCTCATTGTCAATTGTGGGCCTGCAATATTTTTGAAAGCGCCTGCAGATTTGTGTATCCTGGGAACCATCAAATAGAATTCCTGCCTCGTGACACTTGATTTGTATACCAGGTGATTTAATGCATACACTGATTCCAGATCAAATACTTTTAAATCCTACATACCTGAATATCATTGTAATAATTCCCTTGGCTGACTGTAGTATTCACATCATACTGTGGTATGTCATGGTCAGCCATTATTAACATGGTTTTACTGTRCATATCAGTAGTGCATATGGAAGGTTGTGCTGTATTCTTTGTACAATTGCATGTCTAGCACACAATATTATGTACATGTAT